GATGGACTGTAGCCAGCTGACAGCTGTTTCCTGGTGGATGAAGGAGGAATGGGTGCGTGGGTGGGTGGCGGGGTTGTTGTGCTGGTAGTGAGTGAATGTGTTTTTTGTCTGCTTTTGACTGTTGCAACAGTTTAATGAGAACTAGAAATCTGAAGGTTTCACAGTAAGATGAAATATATTAGTTTTATTTCAGATGATTGTATCAGTGGTTTGCCACAAAGCAGTTAGCCTACTCACTGGGTTTAAATGCTTATGGCCCATAGAATAATGAACAGATAGGAAATAATCTTCTTCTATTCATTCTTGCTGGAGGACTGGATGACACATCAGTGGGCTGAACGGAGATGATGTGCACAGAGCTTCGTCCGTTTTGGCTGCCTCACCTTTATCATCGGGACTAAACCACATATATATATATATATATATATATATATATAACGTTTGTTTTGTTTGCTGGTCCTGTAACTTTATCCACACCCCTTGCGGTGCGCTATACAGTAGGTCCTTTATAGTGTGAGGAGTGAGTGTGTGGTTGAGAAAAATAGAACGAGCAGCAGAGAGTGATGTGAATATGTATCAGAGGAAAAGGTGAGCAGTGAAGTTTGGCAGTAACTGTACAGTGTACTACAGTTTGTCAGTGAATAATGGCTGCAGCTAAAGCGTGTTTGTGTGTGTGTGTGTTGTTCAACTGCTTTTTGTTTCTGCTTTATTTGGTATTTATTTAGTTATTGCGCTGAAGATGATGTCAGGCAGTTTCACACGGTGTCGCCCACCTACAAAACATCACCTCAATACAGCATCTCCGTATCAGTTTAATAGAAACAGCAGTCATACTGTCTGCATTTCTAAATTCTACCTAAGCCTAATGCATAACATTACACTCAAAATGTTTTTTAAAACAGACCATACATTTATACATTTCCAGGCAGCAATTTATGTTGGTGAACATTTAGGTCTTTTCTTTGTATGTGGATATTTTAAATGAGTTTTCTTTTAAACAGTCAAATCTGCGTTTACATTCAATGTTTCTCACTATAACTCACAGTTTCCCTGAGGCCTTACAGAAGTATTGAGTTTATTTCCTTCCTCAAAACATTTACAAATCCGTTTAAAAAAAAAAAAAATACAACAAAAAAAAGTGTTTGCCTTTGCACTACAACGTTTCTCTATGCGTGACCAAAAGTAAAACTGGCAGCAGGAATGTGTATTCTGTCGCCCTGGTGCTTGCTCACATGTGCGTCCTCGTGCACAACATGGGGACCCACTCATAAAAACATTAGCCAATAGCATTACTAATAGCCAGGGGATCCTTTAAGTTAGCTTGATTTGATTGATAATTTGACTTCAACCTGGATTTGACTAAAATCTAAAAATGTTGGCTATCAGTTGTAATAGCATCTGCTATAAACAATGTGATACTTGCATTGGAAAGCTGTCCCTATCAAATCACAAAACATAAGTCTTTAAGATGATGTCAAAAGACGATTTAAGTGTCATGACACTTTGGACCAAGTTGAGTCCATTACAGTGTGGGCCAAGTCTAGTTCATGGATAAAATTGCACATTAGGTGGTGTTTAATGATTCTAATCATTTGCGCACTCTTTAAAAAGATTGTTTTTTTATAACATGTTTGAATTTTATGTCTGGACAGAGAACTTTCATCGTAGAGGGAAGTTTCCTTTTGTAGAAGTAAAACGGTAAAACTGTGGTGTCTATTGTGTCGACTTCACACCACATTGTAACATTTCTGTCAACTCTGTCCTCATGTGCCCTGGCTTCCTCTCCCTCACTCTTCTGTTTCCGGTGTCTCTCGCCCTCCTCTCTTCGCTTGCTTCCCTCCCATGTCTCGTTCTTTCTGTAGCCACTTTAAGGCCAGCTGTAGTGTGGGCTTTTTGCCACAACAGCATGATAAAGCTTCCAAGTCACTGCTCTAAGTGATTTTTACTACACGGTATTACTGTATTAATGTATGACAGATTGCGTTGTAGTACTGTATAAGCGGTTTCCCTGAAGTGTAAGTACAGAACGCATCTGAATCATTTGCAAATGTTTATTTTTTTTTTTTAAATATCGAGCCTCTACTGTACTTCACTTGTGTGGGAAAAGAAATCCTCTCCTCTTCTGTTAAACCTCTCATATTCTAGCAAGATGTGTATTTTTGTTTTTAAAAAAGCCATAATTACAAACTACAGTTATCCATTTGTGTTGAAGCCATCACATTTCTCTGCTGGTTCTGTGGTTCTAGTGGGCTACAGAGAGTACACGTCATTAGCATGGTTTCTGCTACTCGCCAAACCAGGCTGACCCAAGGCTGCTTTAGCTGCTCTCCCATACAGATGTGATATAAATGCTGTGAGAGACTATGATTAGAGGCAACGCCGTGAGAGCATTGCAAGTGGTTTTCTGTACTATAGTACAATGAGGTCTGTTTCCTACAACCCATCATCCAAGCAGTTTTATTGCAGCTCCTGCTTCTCTTACTATCCTTCCTCATATTGAAAACATGTTGGCTGTTAGATATTGGTTGACCAACTCTCATCACAATAGCAGTAAGGTGCTAATGTTTGTGACAAATGAAGCTGCATTTCCTGTAGCTGCTTCACAATAAAAGCCTTTTGTGTTTTTTTTTTTTTTTTTTTTTTTTTTTTTCTAAAAATATTTTTTTTTCTTAATATGAAGCAGCAGCTGCAGGAAATGTTAGCTTTGCATTAGCAGTATCTTAAAAGTGCCCTGTGGAGTTTTCATGTGAACACAGAGGGTGTGGTGATGCTGTAGTCCAGCAATGCATGGCAATCTTGGTGGCCAAGAATTAGTGTGTCTTGTCCACCCAGCACACTTGGGTTCCATAATATTTGGTCACTTTATTTGGTGTTTCTACTGCAAATCAACAGCGTGTTGGATGCTGACACATAAAAAGCAGTTCAGATTCTCCACGAAAAGGACCCTGAGGAGTAGGGTTGTTCCGATTGGCGATCGGATCGCTTATCGACGATTGAATGGATGATCGGCGATCGATTTTTCATGTGCCGATATTAAGGCGATTTTAACTAACTCACTATCAGAAGTTAGATGACCTAAAACTAAATATAAAACACTAATGCGTTGAAGTTAACTCTGAGAAGTTAGTCTATTTTTTTAACACAACGCTGTCGATGGGTTCAGCTAAAAAGTTCAACTATTTTGCTACTACTTTTACTACTTTGACCACGGAGTGCACATGCGGTCGCCGAGCAGTGCGCTGTGCCGTGTTTGCACTTTTACCATTCAATAAACCTGTAGTGTCGTTCCCAGAAAGTGTCCTAATCCTAATTTATTTGTGGATCACTACCAGGATCATGTTTGAAATCATACATAACAGACAACAATAAGTTTTCCCTGAGGAAAACTGAGACTGTCTGTGTGTCATGACGTGGAGAGGGGAGAGGCATGTGTTTTAAAGGGGATGAAAGTGGTACATGTTATTGGCCATGATTCTCACAACCTCTAAAATGCCCACCTGTAATGTATTTATGTATGATGATGTATTCTTTCTGATCCCATCCAGTATCCCAGTGTGCCACAGGTGCGCTAAGCGAGCGTGTTCTTGGCGTGCCCCCCTGACACACTGTGCAGGTTGTTCTGTTTCAAGAACAAAATGTTTCATGAATGTTTCAAGAAGAAAATGGAGAACCTATATGTCACGCTGAAGCTACTAAAGCGCTAAAAGCTGAACATAGCAACCCTTTTTAAAACATGAGGCTTTGTCTCCAGCCTGCTTGCCTGCACACTAATCAGGTTAGTGCCTATTAGCACTACCTGCTTAAGCAGGATCATTATAGTGTAGGTCAGTGTGCTTTGAATCCCCATAAGATGCAGTTCCTGTAATGGCTGCTGGACGTTGGCTCCAAGACAACTGACTGTATTACAGGGACTGGAAAAAACATCAGCTTCTCTGTCAGTTGTTCCACTGCCGTGTACAGCTGTCATTCAGCTTGTTGTCTTTCTCTGGTGGGTGCAGCTTAGAATCTAAATTACTGTTATCCAACTATGAAAGTGTGTGTTGTAGGTGACTTAACGGGTGCTGAACTCTTTTAGCCTCTCTTTCTCTTTTTGTACTAGTCCCCCCCCCCTCACCACCATCTTTCTGCCTTGATCCACAACTCGTAGCTGTGGTCTGTGGTCTCCATGGTGATGAAAGAGCAGCTGCAACAAAAAAACCTTAATACCGCTCTCCCCTGTTCGCTCTCCCTCCTCTCCATTGTTAATCCAGCCAGATGGTCCCGAGGCTCTCTGCAGTAACAAGTCCCCAACAGCCTCAGGACAGCAACACCAACTCAAGCAGACAAAACCAAATTATCAACAAGCAAAAAGGAAAAATATATTGAACACTGGAAAGAAACAACCAGAACACAATGTAAATTACAATGTAACCTGACCCTAAAAAGAGAATTCACACTGGCAAATTACCTGAGCTCAATAAAATGTCCTAAACTAAGAAAAATGTTGACATGTTAACATACAAACTGAGTAAACACAGGTTTGTTGAGACATAGAAAAGGGTCGCCACAGACAGAGCTGGCTACCACAAGAGGAGAGACTCTGCTCCCAGTGTGACAGAGGACAGGTAGAGACACAGCTGCACTTTCTAACCTCATGCCCTAAATATAAAACACTAAGACAAAAACACTTTGCAAACATTTCCCAAATATACCCCGAATTCAAATTCATATCAGACACACAGAAACTCTCCTATTTACTGGGAGAAATGCCCAAATGTGAAATAATTGCTGCAAAATATATCTGCTCATTGTGTTTGAGCTCCTGGTAGGTTGGGGCTTTGTGATGATATGTCTGGGGGTAAACTGATTTTAAGTAATTGATCATTTCTGTATTTTTAGTAAGAAGGGGTATTGGCTGCTCTGCACAGATTATTTGGTCTTGTATATCTCTGCACCTGCAGGATGCTCTTACAGATGTCTCTCTCTCTCTCTCTCTCTCCCCCCCCCTTCCCTCCTATCAGCCACCTACTACCCTACTTCCCACCTTTACCGCTGCTGTTGAGGTAGCCATGGCGACCAGCGCCGTGCCAAGTGACAACCTGCCAACGTACAAGCTGGTGGTGGTGGGGGATGGTGGCGTTGGGAAGAGTGCCCTCACCATCCAATTTTTTCAGAAGATCTTTGTGCCAGACTACGATCCCACGATAGAGGACTCGTACCTTAAACACACGGAGATAGATGGACAGTGGGCAATACTGGATGGTGAGTAGAATTGTATGTGCATGTGAAATCTCTCCATGCTAATCTTCCATTTTATTTATTCATTTTCCTTTTTCCATCATTGACCAATGGGTGAACGTTTGTATTTGTTCTTTTTTAGCTTTTAACTGCATTCCTGCAGTAGCTGTTCTCCACACTGAGCAACTCACTGAAAGAATTAATGACAAAAAGGCACTGCTATAGTTGTTGCATGTGGGAGAAATGATCATTCCATGATTTCATCCATCCCTCAATAAAGTGTTCAATTTATGTTGGAAACACATGAAGCTCTGGAAAGAATTAGAAAACGACTTCAGTTTTAAAGTTTATGGGAACAAATCTTTGTGTAAACTTTTGACATTCTGTTATGAAGTACTGACAATTAATGACCTCTGCCAAGGCCAGGGAAGTTGTCCTGACTCAGTTGTTATGTAAGGGTAGCCAAGGCCTGAAGGGGACACTCGAGGAAAGGCCATTGTTGGGTCACAGGATCACCAAAATGTGCAAGTCTCTTTCTCTTAGGATTATGAGAGTGCGTGGGTGGAATTGACCACACAACTCGTAGAGGAAACAAAAGAACTGTTATTCGTGTACTTGCGGAAAATTTAAACAGGTCACAATAACAAAATTGAACAATCTCATTGTACAACGATCACTGCACACTGGGCCAGTTTATATTCCCTAGCAAATAGATGTAACAATGTTTCTGGTTCAGAGGGGTTTGACAATTTTATCGCAGCTTTCATAATTTTTTTTTACATGCTTGAATGGAATCAGGTGTCTAGGTGGTTCAATAAGAAAAACAATGTCTAAATGAGCAGTTTGCCACTGAAAAGCACATTTAAATATATAAGGTGGCTTGTACTGTATATGTCCCTCCATCTTCGCAGTGCTGGACACAGCCGGCCAGGAGGAGTTCAGTGCTATGAGGGAGCAGTACATGAGGACAGGAGATGGTTTCCTCATCGTCTTCTCTGTGACAGACAAGGCCAGCTTTGAACACGTTGACCGATTCCATCAACTCATACTACGGGTTAAAGACAGGTAGGTGACAACAGCGCAGCTGAGTAATACATAGCAGAAACCATTTTTTTTTTTTTTTTGATGCACACAACAGAAGAAAATGAAGGACGTGGAAATGATATAGAAAACTCATGTCAATTGACTCCTCAGCGAAGTTATGATTTAATGTAAACTCATTTACACTGTTGCTGAAAATGAAATCACAGAAGACAGAATTGCTGTCACAGTGTTTCACCTAGCATTAAAAGCAAATTTTTTTTCACCGGATTTAAGCTGTGAGAGTAGCCTCCGTCAGACTCAGTTATTACTGTGTTCAGCAGCATATGGAGGCTGTCCTGCAGAAGAAGTGTAGGAAGAAACCTCAGTAGTTGAGTTCTAACCTATTTAATAGTAAGGGCATTGCATTGTTGCAATGCATTTACTGTAAATTGTCCCTATAAATAATTGTATACATGTTTGAAGATTTCTATATGCATATTTCCATGATACATCAAAACAAATTGACAAGTTGTAAAACACAGAATTCAGAAAAATTTAAACAGAAAATGCCGAATTTGGTAAAAAAAAAAAAGTATCTGATTTCATAGGGCCCTAGAATGCTTGCTCAGTAATTTTCCTTGAAAAGAAACCTCTTGAAAAGAAGAACAAACATGTCGAGAACTCCAGAGAAAGAATTTGGTGTGTGTGTGTGTGTGTGTGTGTGTGTGTGTGTGATGACACACACAATAAACCCCCAATTTTTCGAAATGTGACCAATCAATCAGTCTAACATTTTGATATCTGTAAACACTAAATCTACTAAACACTAAAAAGTCCTTATTGGATTACTACTGATGTGAAATATGTTAGACATAAAAGAGGATGCTAAACAGATCATGTTTTTACAATGTCTTTTTTTTTTTTTTTTGTCCTTTTAGTTTCATCTTTTGGTTACGATAAGATTTTACTGATTAAGGAACGCTGTAGCATCACTGGAGTCATCAGACTGGTTGAAGTGAAACAAACCCAAAGTTTTTCCTACTTGTCTTAAACAAGACTATTTTGAAGCTAAAACGAAAGCGGATTGCTTCAAAATGGCCAGTACAATCAATCTTTGCATTGGGAATCTGTGCGTGTGTCTAACTATGTTAAATAGAATAAACAAAAGTTACTGTACCCAGAAGCCAAAGTTTCCACAAGAGGAAGTAGCTCTGTTAGATGTAATAGACATTTACAATGTGGTGTTTGTTTATGATCTTCTTACCACTAATGTTGTTTGCCTTGTTGAACTCCATTCTCAAGATTGTGCTGCATCAGTGAAGTCTAAAATGTTATAAACAATAGAAATTTAGGCCCAAACTCCAAAAATAAGACCTAGTAAGAAATTACTTTTAAGCCCCTGTGAGCGCCGTCACATCATCATCTGATGTGGTCTGATTTAACAGTGCGCATGAGCCATTTAAGGACCACACACACTAAAATTTTTAATATTTAATATATTTTGTACTTTGAGGAACATTTAAAGCCAAACTTTGCCTGCCTCAGTCATGTCAGTTTGAGTTTTGCTGACCCAGCAGACATGGTAACGTTGCATCACATTTTTCAGGATTAGACTGGTTAAGTATAAGGATCTCACCCTTGCCTCACTTTTCCTCAAGCTGCAGACCAGTTGGGCAGAACGCCGGATTTGTTTCCAAAAGTTTGGGCTGTTGTGTTCTGAATGTCAGTTGTTGAGAGTAGAGGAAGTGTCTGTTCTCTGACGGTGACTGACAATAGTCAATAATGGAACAAAAATGCAACCACAGCAAGTGGTTTGGAAATTCATTATTCAGTTCTACAGAAATACCTGAGTGAGAGAGTGTGTGTGTGTGTGCTGTTCCTCTCAGGGAGGCCTTCCCCATGGTGTTGGTGGCAAACAAAGTGGACTTGGTTCATCTGAGAAAGGTCACCACTGACCAGGGCCAAGAGATGGCTGCAAAACATAACGTAAGTAGTGTCCTTCGCTCATTGTAGGCTTTGTGTGGAAACCTGGGACAATGAAAGCATTTCTGAAACAGCAGTAAGAGGAAACGGTGTGTTCTTGTATCAGAAATAATTCACTCCTAAATCAGAATAAAACTAGAATTGAACATCAGACACAGTTGATTGATCGGTGTCATTTACATGACCGTGTGTGAGAGAACATCAGTCTTAGTCTTTGTTTTGTGGTGAGAGTGAATTAAAGATTGTGTTTTCACTAATACGGCTTCCATCTTCATGTGATTTTCTACTGGTTCCATCCTCCCTGTACTGTATGTTGGTATACTTTATACAGTATTTTTATGTAGTTCAACCATTTGGTTTATTTCATATTTCAGCGACGTGTCAGTAGTAACTAATACCACTGACGCTTCCTTTTGGAATATTTCTGCTTGCTTCTTCAGATAACTTATATTGAAACCAGTGCCAAGGATCCTCCAATGAACGTGGACAAAGCCTTTCATGAGCTGGTTCGAGTTATAAGGTAACTCCAGGTTTACTTCTGTTTATTCTATTTTTATGAGATAGACCAGAATGTGTTTGGATAAAAAGTAATGTAAGATGTATTCAGTAGCGGTAACGGCAGTTAAACTGCTCTAGGACATCAAATTCTAAACTCAAAGCATATCACCCTTTCCTTGTTTTGTTTGTTTTTTTTTCTCTGTGCGTTTGACTTACTTAGAGGTTAGTGGCAATGAGAGAGTGTTATGCTGATATGTGAGGGCAGTGAAACTGTTTTTAGAGAGAGTGCAAAAGCAAAGAAAAAAGTCCCAGAGCTATTTCCTGTCTTGACACACATGTAATTTCAGAAGAATCTGGTTTGTGTCCATGTTTTTGTATGTGGTCATATCCTGTTTTAAGGCCTTATTTTGTTGCAAGAACCAATAAGCAACAAGTGGGCAGGTCAGTGTTCTACGGCCTTTGCTCAAACACCCAAATACACAGCTGTATTTGTAAAAAGGAAATAATCCAGATTAGAGAGTCCCCATTGTCTACACGTCAGGTCTGTAACAAAATGTTCATTCAAAATGCACCAAAACTGAAGAGAGTTTACCAATGAATCAACATTGCCCTCTTGTGGTCTGACTGTAGAAAGCCAGTTATACAGGAGGGGGAAAACGAAATGATTATTCTGCACAAGCTGCCTTAAGCTGCCTTGAACATTCCCTTATAAAATGGTTTATCAAATCTATAAGATGGGACACATTATTGATTTGCTCTAAGCTTAGTTTGACTCACTTGTAATATTGCCAATTTAACTGGGATTTAAAAATTTTTCCGCTGGATTTCCTGTTGCAAAAATATGTAATGTGAAAATGTTCACAAAACAAAGGATAAATGCATCAAAATGAAGGAACAATGTACACATGTTCCCCCTCACCAAAACTGACTGAACAGGCACTTAAGGGGATAGTGCCTTTAAATAATTAATTAGGCATTTTGGGATATATTCTCATTTACTTTATTGCTGCGAGTTAGATGAAAAGATACCGCTAATGTCTGTATGGTCGTTTAGCTTAGTCTAGCTTGCCTAGCAACCTCGTGGTGCCGACAGGACCCCAGGAAGTTACTGTGCCCTGCCAAGAATAGTCCAGCACAGAAACCCCAATAAAACCAAAAGGGGTTGTTTGTACACGTGTTGTTCAGATTAAACTAATGACATACTACATGTTAGTGAGTTTAAGAGGTGCTAGTAGGTGTATTTTGTGACCATTGGACAGAGCCATGGTAGCTGTTTCCCCCGTTTCCAGTCTTTGTGCTAAGCTAAGCTAACCTGCTGCTGGTAACCGGTAAATGGACTGTACTTGTTGTTATGTAGCACTTTTCTAGTCTTCACCGACGGCACCAGGAGCAATTTGGGGTTCGGTATCTTGCCCAAGGATACCTGCAGACTTGGGAAGCCGCAGACCTTCAGATTAATGAACAATCTGCTCTAAAGAAATATGACCACATTACTCCTGTTTTAGCTTCATTACACTGGCTCCCAGTATGTTTTAGAATTGACTTTAAAATTCTATTGATCACTTTTAAAGCTCTTCATGGCCTCTCGCCTTGTTATATTTCTGACCTTTTAGTCCCATACGCACCAGCACGTACCTTGAGATCCTCGGGCAGAGGTCTGTTGTCTGTTCCAGAGTCTCGACTGAAAACTAAAGGAACCATCTGGAATCTTCAACTTTGACTCAGGAGCAGAAATCAGACTTTTAAACTCAAAAGAAATTATGATTTGATACTTATCGTGATAATTATCGATATCGAAAGATATGAACTGTATTATTGTGATAACATTTTTGGCCATATCGTCCAGCCCTTCATGACAGCGGCATCGATCTTCACATCTAATCATCAACAAGAAAGTAAATAAGTGTATTCCCCTGACTGTTGGATCTATTTTTGACTTTAAAAATAACAACTTAGTTGAATAAACTCCTTGATAAATAGAACTTTATGAGCCAAAATGATAACCATGGCAGGATTATTGTGTTGTGAGTTCTCAGAAAAAGCATGAAGTTAGGATTATTTTATCAAACTCTCATTATTTTTCTTTCTCCACACTCACAGACAACAGGTCCCAGAGCGAAACCAGAAGAAGAAAAAGAAGATGAAATGGAGAGCAGAACGCTCCGCAGGTTCCCACAGGTTCCACTGCGCCATATTGTGACCCCCCCCCCCCCCCCTGCTAATAATTCATAACGTACACACACCCACATGCACACCCACTTACCTTTTGGATGTCAGGGAACTCCCCAGCAGTGGTAACTACTGGAGCACAAACAAAGGGAGGGGGGATGGGGGGGTGTCGAAGAATGGCTGTATGGATCCAGAGAGGCGGAAGGAGAAGTCAATCTGAAATGTTGGGCTCCCCACAACCCTTCACCATGCCTTGGAATGAGCACTACGCCGTCTCTTTTCAATTTATGGTCCCTTTCAAAGGTCTCCCATCTGTGTCTCCAAAGACAGAACTACAGTGTTACTGAACTGCTTCTCGATCAAGTGTGATTTTTGAATTTAATATCAAATGTGGCACAAGAGGACAGACTCTGGGGGGGAAGCCAGAGATCAGGATCACCTTAATGTTGGACCTTTTTGTCTTCTTGAGAAAGGGAAGAACTCAAAATGGCACCTCGTATTTTATGGACCAACTCCCAACAACCTGCTGGTCATCACCTTTCAATCCCCACACTCCTACAATTTCTGGACGAAAAAGCACCCGTGTGATCTTTAGATATGTTTGTCTGTGTTCTCTCTCGTTGTAGAGTGGACGTCACGAGGGCACGGCGGATGAGTATGAGAGCGGTGACGGTGATTTTTGGCAGTGAAAATACATGTTCTGTGAGTGTAGCGTGTACCTCGTGGTCATGTGACGCTCTGGGCGCGAAATGTCAGTTCAGAGGGAATGGAAGTCGTAGCAAGCGAAACAAGTGTGACGTGATGCTGAGAAAACGTGTCACATCGGTTGACAGGTGAAGGCCATGGTCATATCAGCTTGTTGAATACGTGTTTAAATATTGTAATTGTAAAGGAAAGTAAGATTGGTCCGGTGTGTGATGTTAAAACGTTAATGTAAACATAACAGGGTTACTGACGTTTCAGCGAATGTTTACAGACTCTTATAAATGGATTATTTTCCCATCTTAAAAACGTATATCAGAGCCATCATGTCTTTTTGAAAATAACAGTGGATCATTTAGGTTGCCTCTTCAGTCAATGGCAGGATGAGTGCAGTCTTCTTCAGTACTGTATGAACGACAGACCTGAATTTTTTATTTTTTTTTGTCTTTGTGGTCTCAAGAGATTCTCTTCAAAACAAGTAACTTTCCATGTGTTTTTGTATCTTAAAAAAAATAATAAAATAGAGAATTACAATTATATTTGTGATTTAAAAAAAAGTATAATTATAGGCGGCAATGTAAACAAATTTAATGCTGGTTTACAAAAGATCTGTATGAAATCGAATAGATAAGGGATAGTGAGAGCTTAGTGTTTCAGATCTGAAACGGGCTGGGGAAGCTGATTTGCACTGGCCACTAACCAAAATAATGTGATGTCACTTTATTTCAGCTTTTCAAACTGCACAGCTGAATCCAGGACAAGGTTACAAATAAGAGTCATGCTCGGTAAAGGGTAACGCTCCTTCAGTTCGGGGATACATACTGTTGCCCTGAGAAAACATCAGAGTTACAAAGCCTGTCTCGACCAGGCGGCGGGATGCTCCTAGGGCTTAAAGCCATGTGAACCTAGCTACAGTTTAGTTGTAGGAAAACCACACACTCGAAGCAACAAGGCATTCAGTTCATGTTTGTAGCTGTGAGGTGGATAGGAATGTACAATTTAATAACCTATGAAATGGCTTGTACTGTTAGCGCACTAAAGTTTCAGTGGACAACTTTTTTTTTTGTCTGGATGAATACCGTCTCATGAAGGAATACATTTTTGCACTTTTAATACAATTTCTGACTTTCCTATTGGCATGTTGTTTTCTGTTCTAATCTGTAAGTGAATTGAAAAGGCACGTTCAAAACGATTTGAATGTAAAATCGAATAACAAAACGAGCAAAGAGGCAATTAGCGCTGTAGCCCTGTGTGCCTGTGTATGCCTGTTGCCTTGGCGATGATTGTAACAGATTATTTAAGTTAGAATTTAATCATTTGAAAGGTATTGAAATAAAAGTTCCATATTACTCAGTTTTGAAGGTTGAGTATGAACAAAACTCATTTATTGAATGGCATACAAATTCACCTCAGCATGAAAGTGGAAAATCCACCTCAGCAAAAGAAGGAATACAGTATTAATCTCTATCTACTGTCAAAGGGACTTCACAAAGAGATTCCAGAGAAGGACAGAAAACATTGATGTAATGAACATTGAGCAATGGAACAGCTGACTCTGGATTGTGGAGGAGGAAAACAAAAAAGCTGTGTGTGTTTTTGATGAAAATGTTGCATCATGTATGTTTGATACTATTTTGTATTATTGATATGATTCTTGCAAAGTGTTTTTTAAACAACTGAATAATTTATTACTGTCTATGTTACCTCAGCGTGTCCCAGACCTGGACAAAAAGCTTAATCCATCCCCCTATTTGTTTTCTTTTTTCTTCTTTGGGACTCTCAATGGGTAACAGGCCTTTCGCCTTTGAGCCCCCATAGGAAGAGACTGCTTTACTGAAGCTCATGTGGAGATGGCCTCACAAGTTAACAAGTAATGACAAAACAAGAAAAGTTTGTCATCCAACTTGTCATCCTTAATATGTTTAATTGTTCAATGTGAAACGTCCTAAAAGGAATACTTTGAACAAGACGACTGAATAAGAGTACTTTCCAAAATGTCAGAGTTGGATGAGAAGATTGACAGCACACGCATTTCTGTACACTTAGCTATATCCAGCAGTCTGGATACCTTAGTTTAGCTTGGTTTAAAAACTGGAAACAGGGAGGAAAGACCTTGTGTGTGAAGATAATACTAAAATCAGCCAACCAGCACATTTAAAATTCATTGAGTATATTATTTAGTTTGTTTAAATGTGCTGGATTATTTGATAACTTTGGACTAGGCTAGCCGTTTCCCCCCTGCTTCCACTCTACATGCTAAAGTAAGCTGTCTGGCATGCAAGCTAGCTTCATAGTGTGCAGGTGGTAAATGGACTGTACTTGTATAGCGCCTTTTTAGTCTTCTGACCACTCAAAGCGCTTTACACTACATCTCAATTTACCCCAATCACACACATTCATACACTGATTGCAGAGGCTGCCATGCAAGGTGCCGACTGCTCATCAGTTGAAAGAGGCTAATCCCATCCTACACGTTTTGGGGGACTCTCGTTAAGAACACAGTTCCTTTAAGCAGACTGAGCTCATGTACCAGCCATGTGTCTGCTATGCAGTTCACTATTTAACCTTTTGGTTTGAGGTCCAAAGTACAATTTGAAATCAAAGTTACCTTTCTTGAATTAATCATTATGGCTTATACAAACAAACCTGCTGATTTCACTTTTCAGGCAGACCAAATCCACACGCTGGAAGTGAATATAATGGAATAATTATTTGACCCTGGTTTATATGTGAGCCAATTTGAGCACTTTTGTTTTTATTAATTGGAGAGGTAGCATTCTTTTTCAAATAGACAGTATTGGTGAAGTTACCCAATTGATTTGAGCTGTGTGTGTCCTGAAATGTCGTCAGTATGTAAAGGGCCGTGGAAACTTTTAAGTTTGGATTACTAAAAACTAAATTTGGAGTTGTCACAGCAGTAGTGTAATGTGTGTTTTTGGTCAGGTCTGTTGTTCTAATTGTGTTCTAACTGGCTGTGTCGGACTGAGGAGCTAGACGAGGCACAAACAATCTGTGGCCTTTTTTTATCTAGCCTCAGGGGTCGATTATATTTCAATAAAGAAATACAATTATTGTGACTTTACATGTTTGACTGCTTTTTTGTTTTGTTAGATGGTAGGTGGGTATCCATGACATTAAAAGGCTGAGACACACACCAACTTGCAACTGCTGAATGGCCTGTGATCAGAGCCATTTAAAGCCTCGGTAAACATGGCTACACGCGTTTTTGAGAGTCACGTTCTTGCTTGTTCAGCAGAAGCTCCCCTCATTAATCTTACGAGCCGTCACGGCCCATTGAGTTCAACACTGCCGAGCCTGAAAGCTCCATTTTGCCTCATTGATTTCAATCCTTTGGGGGAGCAAGGTAGGCCGGCACACAGAACCGGTACGGCATCCCTGCAATTCATTTACATTCATGTTCTGTTCAGAGTGAAACTGGTACGAAGAGGTGCTAAACATGAGATGAGGGGCAAGAGAGCTGCAAGATGGTTCTCATGGTTAATATGGAAAATGAAGAAAAACCATGCTAAACATGTCAAACATGAATATGCAAGTTAGCTTGAAAGATTAGAAAGTGCTTCAATGTAACTGTAGTATAATCATAGTTAGAAACCATAGTCCTTACTGCAGATTTTCCTTTTTTATTTTTTTTTGTTCTAATCTCTGGGTGCTCTTCGAGGGTCTTGCCACTGGGGGTCAGTACTGTACTGATTACTTGTCTTCTCTCATCACTTTGGTAGGAAAAGCACAAAGTTTGCAGCTCAAACCCATCAAGAGTACTTCAAAAACCTGCTTTTACAGTTTTCTGAAAAACAATTTCCCCGTCAAGAGCAATCGTCTTGCATGTTAAATGAAACAAAAATTGCAAAATGTGTTCAGTAGGTTTCCTGCAATAGCTTGTTTTTAATACAAACAGTTCATTTAAATGGAAATAAGCAGTTTGGGAAAAAGTCTAAAAATGAAAAGATGTGTAGCATTCTAAATACACTGACAGAACCAATAGACAGACCACGTGGGACTACCTTGCTGCTACCACACATCACAACCAGTGGGTCTTAGCTGGAAAAGCCCCCACCTTCATGTCACTGCTCTCACAATCTCTTGCAGCACTTTTGCATTTCAACTTCATGTTTCTCAGTGTACTCATAGTAGATGCACTTCTTTCATCTCACACATGGCGCACTCATGCATTTTATTCAGTTTCTCCCTCCACCATGCAGATACATCCTGTTCTTCATTTCCTATTAAATAGCAACCAAGATCAGGTTTCTTAATAATCATACTTGTTTTGTACCTGGTACTGTATATACCACTGACAATACTTTGATAACGTAGCTGTGTGATTAATTGGTTATATTACATGGGTGCACTGATGCACACCGAGGGAGAGAGTTGTTGTTTTAAAGTTGACCTCACATTTGAAATAAAACACGAAAGGAATGTGCTATAAAGTACAAGCTTCTACCTGAGAGAACTTGGACACACTTGATTTGCAAAACATGATCACAGCTGCTTTGGCACCAAGAAAAATGTGGAATCTTTCGCAACCAGCCGTTTGTCCAATTAATAATAGCTAGACACACATGATTACAAAAATCACTGTAATTGCAAATGGCAGATGGAACAAACGACTTTAAGTGATGGCCAGATTGTAATGATTTTCTGAAGAGGAAGAGAGGTGAGGATGTCACACAGGGGGTGAAAAGAGAGAAATACAAAGGGGGAAGGAGAATAGAAAAAAGATAGCAATGTGGGCAAATGGACAAAAGAAGAAGAGAAGTAGACAAATAAAATGATGAAGAAAAAACATCTCAGATTGAGAGAAGAACAGGCAGAAGGCATCACAGGAATGAGCCAGAACAGACACCCAGACAGGATGGAGGTGTAAAGGTATGACTGATTCTTATTATTTCTCTTGAAATTAAAGGGCAGCAGGGCGGTACAGACGGATATTAAAGAGGTGAAATTATGTTTTTTTTGCTTTTTCCCTCTCCTTTGGTGAGTTATATATCTTTTTTGTGCATGTAACAGGTTTGCAAAGTGAAAAAGCCCAAAGTCCACCCCAAAGGGAGTTCCCATCTCCCACAGAAAACATTGCTCTGGACTGCCTGAAAAGAAGCTGGTTTGTAGTCCAGCCGTTTCCCTTTCATCCCTGTGACATCACAGGTGTTGTAGTTGTTGGAGGTGGAGCTAGGAGTCCGGCGCCAAGGACTCACAAGGTAAATCATGAGGGGTGGTGAGATGATTTATGGGTGAGGATATGCAAATCTGTATTTATTTTTGGACTTAAGATAATTGAATAATTTGTACAATCATTTGAGTGAAACCATGTGAGAAGTTGTAAGGGGACATGTCTACGATGGAAGTGATAACAACTCACAGACATATGAACCATGATAAGAATTCCTAACTCATATTGCAGAGGTTGCAAAACAAACCATTGGGGAATCACTGGTTTAATCACTGGTTCTTTAACAATGTGTTGTGAAATGTTTCATGGCAATCATCTGGGATTGTGCATAAGTAACTATATCTGTCTATTACAAAAATGTGGTGGAGTAGAGGTAAAAAGTAGCATAACATTGTAATAGGCCTATTCAAGTAAAGTACCTTTGTGTTGTATGTAAATGGATTATATTTAGTTTTTTAGATCACTTATTCATTTTTACAGTTGTAACCAAGGTTATTATAGTTTTGGATTTTTCATTAGCTTTTATTTGTATTTCATTTTGACTTTTTGCTTTCAATTTCAGTTTAGTTTTAATTAGTTTTTTAACATGGGTTTGGTAGTTAAGTTTTTATTTTTTTGAAAATGCTTAGTTTTAGTTAAGTTTTTTTTAGTTTTAGTGTTAGTTTTAGTCTTTGTCGCTGCATGATGCCAGGCGAGGGGCTTGGACTGAAACTGGTACAGCTAAGAAATTGGAAGTGTATGCCCCCCTTGGAGCTACGGACAACAGGTCCCCAACTACCTGAAGGCAAGTAAGACAGAAAAGCAGTTTCATTAGAATCTGAACCTTTATTAATTAAAAAAAAATAGGTACTCAATTTAAAATTATGTTAAGCACAAAGAGACAGGTTGGCTGAACTATCAATGACCCCACAAAACACAACCTGGCTGACATGCAGTAAATGTAATGACCAGCAGACAAGTCAAGCCAGGACAACCCAATGCAATGGGAGCTCACAATGAATACACCAGGGGCAGGATGAGCACTAAGTCAGACCATAAGAACAGAAATAAGAAAAAGAAAACCAAGGATGTGACTCAGTACCTGCACCCCAAACAAAACAAAACTTAACGGCTACAGTGCATTCATATTATTTTGTAGATTGTTTTAGAAAACATGTTCAAACCCCACCAACTATGCAGTCGACCCCTGCTTAGGTCTCTCCGGCTGTTACCCCTTACATTAAATGAGCATGCTCCCAAAAAGCTAACACCTGTTGCGCTGTGGCCAGACGCGGCTAAGTCCCAGGCTCTCCTGAGGAATAAAGCAAGACACCAATGCAGATTAAAATCTGACTCGCTACCAGGCTATCTGCCCCACAATGTTCCACCCAGCTTCACATCCACCCAAAACATAGGCTTATGTAGGTCCCATAAAATAAACTGACGAAAACTAAGGACATTTACTCTGTCATTTTAGTTTATTGTAGTTAATTTTGCTAATCTACAGTACAGGTAATTATAATTTTTTGTTATCGTCATCAGTGTAATTTCAGTTAACATCAATGTTTTTTCACATCTAGTTTTCGTTATTTCGTTCCTCTTCGTTAACAATAATAACCATGGTTGTAACCACAAAAAAATTAACCACACGCCTGCTTTCTAGGTGGCTTGGAACAGCCACTATTTTGCATGCTATGTGAAGAAATCGGGTTAGATTTTCTGCATGCGCACTCCCCAGCCTCTTGCTTGATTCTGAACCATACACGCCACAACACCGCAGCAAAATGGAGTCTGCTAACATAAAAAAAAATGACTGGTTCCCAGCACAACACAGACTCCAACGCAAACTCATGTAAGGATAAAAAACATTTAAAACCTTTTGTGCGCGGAAGCCCGTCAGACCAAACGAGAATCAGATCGATGTCACACAGTCAACATCGGAAAGGCGTTTCAGTCATGGAGAGACCTCCGCTTTGTTTTGGATATAAAAACTGACCCAAAGTTGGCTAACATTACTGCAAAGCATGCAAAATATATTGTGATTTTGTGCTTTAGTTGCCTCAAGTTAGATAACGTTAGCATGCTGGATAACGGATACCAGTTGCTAACGTTATCAGCTGCAAAATACTATAGTTGTATGACTTTCCACGTTAGTTCACCAGCTAATGCGACCCATATTACTATCCTGTGTACCATGCAGTATTAAGTCAATGTTGATTTTAGCTCTACGTTGCAGTGGAAGATTACCTGAATTTCCAGAATTATGTGCGATGCTGTTTCTTGTTATGTCTGTTTTTGGCAATGCTGAGTGCTCGCTCAGTATTGCGAGCACGCGCCTGAAAACATAGTGGTTGCAATTTGAAACCTCACCGCAGGATGCCACTGAAAACCAAACATGGCCCCTTTAAAGCTAGGGTAGGCAATGCCTGAGAAACTACCAAGAGACAGCTAGATTTTGAAAGTTTCCAACCAAAAAAAAAAAAAACCCTTCCTTTCATTCTGACCAAGAACCAATATCTCGTTTATTCTGGCAAGATAGTCTTAAAACATATAGGAAAGTCCTCTGTAATTCCAGAACGTTCTAGGTTTCTTTTCCGCACTGTAGCCAGCACTAGTGAGCCATGTATTTCTGTAGCCCTCAGTAGTAATGACTTCATGAGCCTAGGAGCCTTAGAAAAAGCTATAAATCCTGCAGCACCACGATAATGAACATCAGACATCTTTGATCAGGATATGTCGTTTAACTCCCACGTAATAAGGATTAAATTTTTTCACTTACGAAACATTACAAAAAACAGCCATATCCTGTCTCAAATTGAATTGTGCTTGACCATGAGCTTAAATGGGATCTGTGGTCTGATCTCATAAGCACAATGGGGGACGCACTTTTCAAAGAAATTGTTTTCCTTTAA